AGGACGCACCTGGTATTTTTGAAATTAAAGCCAGCAGCGTCGATGTGTATCCCCAAGGCAACTCCGCTCTAGCGAAGAAATCACAAACCGCCCGACAGACATCACCCTTTACTATTTCCCAACAGGAAGTGAAGAAAGAACCTGTAAACCCATCTGGCCCTGAGCAACTCTCTCCATTCATCTGAAAAACCACTTTTTTAACATCTTCCTCAGTAGGGACTTGTTGAAGAGCCTCATTCTCCGGCTCAGAGACAATTGAGGGGATAGCGTCTAAGCATGGCTGATCTACCTGTCCTTGATCAGATAGCGCCAGAACTTCAGCGAAGTACTCAACCGCCATGTCTTCAATTTTAGGTAGCTCGTCAACCCAGATTCCATTCTTATCCTTCATTCGATGTATATAACAACGTGCCTGTCTTTGTTTGAACTGGTCATGAAAGAACCTAGTATTGGCATCACCTTCCTTTAACCACCGGATACAAGCTTTTTGATGCCAATATCTAGATTCCCTCAATAGAGCTGCCTTGAGGTCACATTGCGCCTGGAGAAGCCATTGTTGCCCCTCCTCCGTCGGGCTTGCCTCCAATGAACATTCCAATAACTGGACCTGCTCTTCCCATTTCCAGACGCGATCAGTAACATTTCCAAATGTCTCCTTGTTCCATACCCGTAACGCATGTTTTACCGCCTTCAATTTCAAAATCAAAACCTTAACCGGTCGCCCCTCACACTCCATCTCCCAAGCTTGACGCACCACCTTAAGGAAGTCACCGTGGGAACTCCAAAAATCCAAGAAACAGAAACTCCGAGGACCTCTGTTGACAGCCAAGGAACAAGTTACTAGCAACGGAGAATGATCCGAAGCAACTCTACTCAAATGTGCCACTGAGGTATTAACACCTAGATCTAACCATGACTGGTTCACCAAAACTTTATCTAGACGCTTCCAGATTCGAGCCCTCCCCAGACGATTATTGCACCACGTGAATGATAGGGTACAATTTTATCATTTATTTTATAATTAAATTCCCCTATTACCTAACCCGATGTGAATTAATTGCCAGATTCTATTCACTTTTGGTATTTGTGCTTATTATAGGAATTTGGAGCAAAATGTGATAAAAAAAGGTAAGAATTTACCATATATGATCTGAATTGACAAAGGTAGTTCAGCACAAATAAGAAATGTGTCAACTAGGAAATCTCCTAGTTTGTTGGCCGCGGTTAAAGAGGAGATAGAGGTCAATTGCGAGGAGGACTCCAGGGAGCCTTGGGAGAGCCAGCCGCCATGTGCAAAAAAATAGGGAAAAAGCTAGCCTCGGCTAATTCCTACTTCGTTTCTTTCCATAGTATGAGGGATGGACAATCCTAATTAGGAGACTTGTTTTTAGTCTTAGTAGTATTATTTTATTAGGCCATCAGAGGCCGCACGAAGGAGGCAGAAAACAATTGGCCATTCTTTGGCCTTAGCAGTTCTTTTGTTTTATTCTTAATTGAATCGGTTCTCTTCATCGCATGGAGGAACGATGTATGCAACAATTAATTCTGCAATTTTCACGGGTTTTCCTCAACGGAGATGAACTAATCTCTTTTTCCAACGAAGACTTCGATTCATCTAAAAATTGTGAAATCGTTTTAATTTTATCTTTTTCTTTTATTTATTGGTATTCGCATATTCCCTGGTTACAGTGCTTGTGGTTGTTCAATTAATTGATTGTTTTGGATCCGGATAATTAGTTAATTTGGGAATCTATTGTCAATTGGGGCATTAAATCTGTAATTGTTTAATTGCTCTGAATTAGTGACAACTGGTATGATTAAATTCGTGTCAGAGGAATACGCGGGCTAATCTGAAATAACCATGGTAATGTATTATTTGGTTAGAATAGGGCTCCTCTAATACATAAGGCAATTGGGGAATAAAATCTTATGGGCGTACCTAAAATTATTTCTCAATTAGAGCAGTGATTAACGGGCGTACCTTAATCACCGACACAGTAAGGAGGGGTTGACTGTCATCGCCTGTTTGGCAGTTATAACCTATTTATTAATAGATAATTGAAATTGCTTGTGCATCGATGATCAATTAGGTGAACCATTATTGAAGTTATTTCTTGGCTAGACCTTTAATTATTATTACCTTAACTTTAGTGAATTGTCATTTAATTTTTAGTTGAATTGTCTTAATTGTTATCTTTTATACAAAAACACCCCATGTGTTACTTTGGATTTCTAAAGAGACAAATATCCCCAGTCCCTGGGGATACGACCCTACTTGTCCTGTCTGCAAATTCATAATTATTTGTGAAAAAAAATCATCCTATCCGAGTATATCGGATCAAGCAAACTCTTCGAGAACATGGTGAATCAAATAATCCATTGCACACCTAGAGTCCCTGCTCTAGTACTTGGAATCAGGTTTTGGTTATTTTAACTGGCAATTAGGTTTATTTTTATTATTGCACAGGCATCGACAACCTGTCAGTGAACTTTGACCCAGAGAAACCCAAGTCCGTCAAGCCAACACCATCAGTGAACTTTGACCCAGAGAAACCCAAGTCCGTCAAGCCAACACCATCAGTAAAATTTTAAAAAGACTCTGCCTTAGAGAAACGAAACGGCCGACCTCCTTTCTTCTCCTCAAACCCAACAACGATGTTAAAATCACCCATGAAGATTGTCGGCTCTCCCAACCAATGCACCCTTGATAATTGTAGCCAGAGCAGTTCACACTTATCTAGGTCACACGAAGCATGAACAAAGGTTGCAATAAAGGAGCGGGAAAAATAAGTATGAGCAATTTGCAACACCAAAAATTGATGACAAGCCGCAACAATATCACACTTATATTCAACATTATAAAAAATCCAAACCCTACTTTCCTCGTTAGAGACACCAAACAGGAAACCCAGCTTCCGACGAACAATATCCAGATGCTCATGACCCACCATTCGTTCACACAGTGTTAATAACGAGATTTGATGTAGATGTTTCAATTTTCTCAAGAGAGCTAAAGTAAGAGCATTGTCCACCCCTCTAGCGTTCCAGAAAAGAGACTTAATCATGACTCCGAGCAGCAAAATTTTTGGGGTGGTACACCATTTCTCTTTGATCGGCGGTGAGTGACCTGCGGCCATTCATCTGGGTTCTTCAGTCCATCCAAATGCCATCGCAAGTCATCCATGGATGTGTCTGTCACCTCACCAGTTTTGCGAGGAGAGAGGTTGAGAGTGGCTACCATCACAGTTTGCTGGCTATCCACCTCTGCCTGCATCAGGTCCTGCAAGTCTACTTCTAGTTCCATTCTATCACTCGCTGGCTCGACACTACCAGCCGAGGCCACAGCAACATCTTGGACATCAGCATCAGTTTCACTGACAACCTGGTTAGCAATAATATGAATCAATTGGTCTGTTGCAGCCTCTATCGCCACTTCAACTATTTTAGGAAGGGTTGGAGACACCCCATTCTGCGTCAAGGTAAGATCTAGGGGCGATTGGTGCCGAAGATCATCCGTCACAGGTGCTGAAACAATAACACCATTCTTGAAGGCCTATCACAAATCAGATTCTGGCTGCACCAAGACGCCATGATCAGTATGTTCCTACTTCTCATCCAGTGAAGGTGAGCTATGTAGCCCCTCACCTTCTGGTTCGACGGGTGGAGCTCAAGATACTTCACGTGACATTGCTTTTCGCCATGGCCCTGACGGTAGCAGTGGCCACAGTATTTGGGTATGTTTTCTGGTTTCAAGAGCTGCTAGAAACCATTACCATCCCCCATATCCACCCAAACCCACGTCGGCAACAGTTTCAACAAATCTACCTCAACACAGACGTGAGCAACATTCGGCCGAGAAAAAAGAGAAGTTGCAGAAGTTTCCCAGGAAAGAAACAATATGGAACAAGCATTGTTTGTCAAATAAATGGACTGGTAATTTGGGTAAACTAAGCCATACTGGAACCAACGATGATTCTCGATCAACATGGAATTTAGAGGTTCACTTAAATACTCTCATGGGGCAACCATAAACATACCAAATATTCCTAACCCAGACCCGCAGGAAATCTGCCTCACTGTTAAACTTTAGCAGAACATGTCTGAAATCAAGCAGGCCCACTGAAACGGAATCCCTTAGATCAAGAGAAAGGAAGAACTTGCGTAGATCTGGAATTGTCGGCCATCCTTTTGAAAACTTGCCAACCAGAGAGAACCGAAACGAAGAAACAATAGCAGATATATCCTCAGCATTAAACACAACAGCAGGTTCCCCATGATGCGTAGCCAAAGTAGCTTGAACCTGTCGCGTCTCTAGTGAAGAGGGCTTCGCAAACAACACTGAGAAGGATTTTTTCGTAAAGGAAGGGGAGGAAGAACCCGTGTGACCCCCACCCAGCGGTGGGGGGCAGCCACGGCTGCCATGCAAATCAAAACAGATTGTACAAAAAAACCTATCGAAAGCAAAAGCAAAAGCAAAAGAAAAAGAAAAAGCAAAAACAAAAGCAAAAAGAAAAAGCTCTCTTTCCGTTGAAATTTCTCAACAGTGCTTCCACCATGGCTGGAATGAAGGTTGTTGCAGAACAATCAACGCAGGAGCAACGATCCGTCCTATCATCGACGCAGGTATTAGGAATGGACAGGAAACCAACTTTTGGTGTGATCGATGGCACCCAATAGGGCCATTGTATCTGCACTTCTCTGAGAACTGGCTTGCTGGCTTCAATCTATCTAAGTCTGATCCTCTAGCAAAATGTTTCTGTGCGGTCCCCTATTTTCGTCTTATACTCATGCAATCTTGGTCCAGAAGGGGAGGTGGGAGAAGGGGCAAAAATTAGGGAGGGGAGAAGTTAAGCTTTCCTCACTCTGAACGATTACTTGTTTGTAGGAATGAAACTTCCATCAGTTAGGATTTGAAAGTGACATTCGGCAGCTAGGGGCGATTTCCTGCTACCAATGGCAGTGTTCCTCAGATTTTTTTTTATATTTAAACTAGAGTAGAAATTTCATCAGTAGCAAACCAATGGAGCTAACATGAAAGCGGATAGGTAGAAATTGTTACACCAACGATTCACAAAAGTAACCAAGATTCAAAAGAACATTGAGTCCTACTCCTTGTTCTTTTCAAATTGTATAAGAGTTAACAAATCTACAGTTCTTTCTAATTTCACCCTTGTTTCCAGTGAGCACATTAACATTCCCCATCTTGATCATTGAGTTTACAAATGAATCAAAAAAATATTCTTGATTAGAGGCATAAGCAAAGACATGCTTTCTTATTTCCCATTGAAGACCTTGGTCTACCAGCACATTGTCCGATATCAACAGTCCTCTTCCTTCAATGATGTTAATGAAGTAGTGGTTGTCAAACCTAGCTGGTGTCTTGAGATCAAGTGGTGCCAGCGTATTATCCCTCCCTGATCTTGGGCATAATGATCGTAATGCACTGAGGTACTCCTCATCTCTCTCACGATAGCCGTATTTTTCTTCAGAATTGTAGTCGTAGATCCTTTGCCTGAAACTCAAACACCTTGCTTTTCCCAAAGTATGGCTGCCTGCTCATGGAAAAAACTTGAAGATAACAAACTCTCGCGAACATATTTACCAAAAGCTGATAACAAAGCACAAAAAGGAAGACTCTGAAGTAAGTTACTGATGGCTTCATACTTCTGGACTAACCTTTTGAAAACAGGAATTCCATCTCGTAAGTTTTAAGAGCATTTTGTCACGTTCTTTTTAAGTTAGAATTCAGTTTAAGAGTCATTGAGGGATAAAATGTTTCAACAGTTACCTGATAAAGCAACCAAGTCTGCAGTGTCAAGACCCTGTTGTTGAAAGTTGACTATGAGGCTGTCTAGAGTGGAGTTTGGAGCTGGAATAAACTGATTGGCACCATTGAAGCTTGCTGTAAGAGAGTCTCTCCTGCCTAAAAGGACTTCCCACCCGGGCCCTCCTCTCTTTTAACAAAGAGCCCCAGAAGAATGCGTTTGGAAATTGGAAATGATTTGGTTGCCATCAAAATGAGGAAGCAGATTATGAAAACAATATTCAGATGGTTGAAATCTTATTGGAACCGCACAATTGGCGATCAATAAACAATCTTTTCATTTAATTTTCACCATTTCTACATACTACACCAACCATGTTAAAATCATCAAAGTTCTGGGGATTTGGATTGTCTATAACATCAATCAACAACGACTTTGATTTTTCTTGAAGTACAATGAAATAGACATGCATCTCAGAATCCATCAGTATTCATCTTTAGGAGACGTAATCCAAAAATGTGTGCAAATATGAAGTAGAAGGAAGAGAGAAGTACCAATACAACTGAATCCCGAGCAGCAATGGTTATTATATCAGCACATGAAACAGTAGCAGGACAGGACTCTTCAACTACGTACTTTATTTCATCTATGACTTCAAATCCTCGCAGAGAATTCAAGTTAGGCCCTGCTTCTTTTTCACTTATAACATTTCCAAAATCATCGAGTAAAACTGATGCATCACATCCCTACAAAGATTGAGTTCAACAGAGATTAAAAACAAAAACAGGTAATCTCACTGCTAAATTAGGGCCACTGTTAGAGACCAATGAAATTACTCCCATTTTACCAGCAATAACCCTTTGTCTACTTCAAAATTATTGCAGAAAGTTGTATAACCATCTTGCTTCGAATGCCAGCACTGTTCTACGGCCTTAGATGATGAGTAAGTACAAAAGTTTTAGAAGTTCTTGTATGCAGATTTTAGTTTTCTTTACTAACAAGCTGGAAATTAGTAGGCAATTCTTACTTTGCCAACTGACAACTTAAATTTTATGGTTTTAAACAACCTAGCCATCCTATTCCGACATAGTGCATAGTAGAAGTTTAACCTTCGAATTTAGCATTAGGAATCGTACAGATTTGGTTTATCCATTCCCTTGAAGACACGAAAAAGAGGATGATGTCAAGTTCAGAATCATCCTCAAGGATTACTAGCACAACTAGCCTTTTCATCAGTTAGAAAGTGTTTTACCAGTATGTACCAATACCAAGTTTACAGCAACCTGTTATCGGTGAATGTAATCTTACGAGAAAGGCAACTACGTATAACTTAAGCAATGTGAAAGAGAACAGAAAAGAGGCTAAACCATGACAAAACAGTCATGGAAGTGCAACCGTAGCAGCGAGGCAGCCATACGAGGATCTTCGAGCACAGCAATTTCAACAATGCGTTGCACCATCTCTTCCAAATGGGGGCATGTTTCTTTGTAGTAGTCAAGAACGAGAGGGCTATCACATCTTGAATTTCTGACGCGAAAAATTGTCAAAACAAGTACAAAGAATGATATTTGCACGGACTTCATTGGGACTCAGACATAAAACTTGTGAACGAGATTCTACAGAAATGGAAATTGAGCCAATAAGGAGATTCCAATAGCAGCTTCTCTCTATGTATAGGTACGGAAAAGTTGACAAAATCTAGGCTCTTAAAGAATCTGGTTACTGGTTTCATTTGGATTGTCAAAACCAACTTAGCTTTCATGAAATACTTTGAACTTTTACTGTTTCAAGAGTAGATGGACCTAACAATAGCTAAATTGCCTGCTTTATCTGGTAGCTCAGTAAAAGTGAGAATTAGATTTAATGGTGGCTGTGCCTTTACTGAAAGTTCATTAGGAGGAGGATCAACTAATGGTAGAAAATTAACAAGTCGAAGAAGAGGAAAAAAAGTACAAGACAAAGCATGCATTTTATCTTGACCACAAGGAGTATATCCAGAAAGCACCCTCTAATTTGACAAACCGTTGAGACAAGTGGTACTCATGAGCGAGGAGATTGGATTAAATCAAGTTATTCTTGTCATGTTTTAAAGGATTGGGGAGGAGACTGGTGGGATCCAAAGAAGAGAGAATACAAGGTAGCAACGGCCTGGGGAGGGAGGTTGATGTAAATTGGACTTTCAAAAAAGACAACTGTGAGTTACAGCTAAGTGGAGGATCATAAAAGCTGCTTCTTATGTATTCCACATAGACAATCTGTTACAGAGTAAGGTCCCCATCTGCTCACAAAGGATAGGAGGACAGACAAAATTTTATCATCTACATAAAAAAAAAATCCCTTCCCCGCCCATTAAGCATAAAAGGAACAATTGAATTTCCCCACATCCACATAAACTCAGAAAACTGGCAAGATATGACTCACTCCAGCTGAAAAAGAGAAACAAAAGAAAGTTAAAAACAAGCTCGTGTGGTTCTTCCTGCTATGTACATATGAAGAAAGTCACCTCTTCTTTGTCCTTGTGAATTCAAAGAAACTATCAAATTCTTATACCATACAGATACAGATGCTCCAAAGTCATAGCTGTTGTTGTTGTTAACTTGGTCTTTATGGATCAAGGTTAGTACGTTCTACCATCTTTAAAATGCAAAGGCCTCTGGATGATACTTTGAGATACGTCTCTGGAGCGCATTTTAAGGGAGAGAAAGAGTTGGTTTTTCCTATGGGCTTGATGAACTTCTACTATCCACTAAACTTTTATTCAGTCCATTGAAGCCTGTATACCTGCTTGAAAAGGGAACAGCAAAAAGTGATTATTTATCAATCTATACACAATACAAAAATAAAAATATGCAGAATGCAGTTCAATGAACAGGCAAAAGTGGTGATCCTAGCAATTTCATAGTGAAAACACAAAAAAGTTTCAAGTACAACCAATTCACAAACAAGAATGCTAATCGTCCTATTATATAGAACTCTAATACCAATAGAATAAAACTGATACTCATTTCATTTTCCAAGAGAACAAAAAAGATACTCAGTAACCATGGAAATGAAAATCTTATTTGAATTACCTTTTACACTGCTTGACTTGTTATCAGTATGCTACATCTCAAATTCCCCACCTTCATTGAGGAAAATATCAGGATGCACTGCTGCACTGGATTTCAGAGCTTTATGGAGTTTGCAATGATCAAAGATTTCAACTTCAAGCGAGAACATTGAACTGACAGGACGATGATCTGAGAGCTTCAGCTCTGTTCTCTTGTAAGACAGCTGCTTTATGCCTTTTCCCAACCACAGAATGCGATCACACCTGAAGGATCAATTCTCTTAAACATTACTGGATAATGCAATGTGCATTGGGAAAAATTGCATGCAAAATAAGAAGTGCAGTTTATGCAATAAATTACTTTGAGCACCAAAATGTACAGAATTAAAAAACCTGCAATTGGAAGATGATTCCTGTCTAAAAGATGTACATAAGACGCAAGATCACTTCATTTTATATCTCTAAAAAAAAAAAAGTATATGTGTGTGTGTGTGCGTGCCTATATATATATGCCATGATGAAACAATGGATTTAGTCGAAAGAAAGATGATGATAAACAGTTACCAGCTCTACCCAGATGACGTCACCCAACCCAATAGAATGATGTCACCCAACCCATTACAAACTGATTCGATAGGAGATTGGTGTCCATTAATCACTAACTGAGAAAAAGAACGCTGGAAAAAATGTGAAACACTTATTTCAAAACAAGTGATGGAGGAAAATTTTAATTGAGTCTCTGCCACAGTTGTGTAACTTTGGTCTTTACTGTAGTCAAATACTTTCCTTCATCATCACAAAGATCTTAGATTTAGCTATTAAAGATCTCGCTTACCATGCTGGTGATCTCTTCTTCTCCCCTTCTTTTGGATCTTCGCCAACATATCTGTCAGAATTGAATTCATACTTGTAAGTTGGGGCAAAGTTTATGACCCCTTCCATCCATCCGTCAAATACATGCCCACTTCGTAGCTCTTTGCTAAGCTGCCACATTTATACTGCTATTGTAAGCTTTTTCTCATTTATCATCATGCAGCAAACTTCTTCTGATTTTTCAAAATAAAAATGTCCCTTGGGCAAGAAAATTAACTTAACCAAAGGACACTAGTTAAAAGAAAAAAAAAATCAACCCTGTGATCTAGTCAAGTGAATACTTCTAAAATCCAGAAGAAAGTACTCCTCCTCCTCCTATAAACTTGGACAAAACCCTATGTGCTTCAACTGAACCTAATAATAGGGATGCAAATCAGGGGACTTGAATCTCACCTGATCACTGTTAAGAAGTTCATTCCATTTCTTGTTTGCAACATGCTTCCGTACTTCTTCATCCAACATACTGATGCGATAGTTTAAATCCCCAAACCAGAATATCTGACTGCTTAGACAAAAATCTGGTTCAAACTCATGATACAATAACATAATGGACAAATAAAAGGTAAAAGGAAATTGCTAGCTACCAAATACAAATTTTCCAAGTCTTGGGAAAGTAGTATATCTCGAGGACAGAAAATTTTCTAGAAAGCATAACCTAATATGACAATGCGATTAGTAACCACCTTCCTCCTCTCTCAGCGGTAAAAGAAAGAAAATTGCAGCGAAATACATACTCGTGAGATGGAATTGTCTGAGGCTGATCACTTTCAAAGACAGAGGAGAACAGAGTTCTTCTTAGAATCTCGTTTACATCAGCATTGCGTTTATGTTCAGCCCCTTCTTTTTGTCCAGAGGTCAAATGAGAGCATACAAAGCACAACCGTGACTGGTAAAGTGACATGCTCAAAGAAATAGATCCCTATGGCAGAAGCAGGATTAGTAAGGTCTTTAATAATGTGAAATGCAGCCACTACATATTCATATTCATTGCCTTAATGTGATAGGACGCGCAGATAAGACCAAAGAATCAGGAACTGACCAAGTGCATGATTTAAAGGCAATTTTTTGTTTCATCAAATGGCACTAATTCTAAACAATTAGAAAAGCTCAATAATACCTTGTTTCCCATGTAACCCATAAGCCCAACACCCACAGGAGAGACTTTCAAATTGTTTATGTGCCTCCTCAACCTTCTACGCACCCAAACTGACACATATATCCCAACCATCTGCTTACTGACAATCCGGACATACCTGGGGCGCAACTTTACGGGATCCTTTGCCTCAAGTTTTTGTTTGGCCTCACTTAGTTCCAGAAAAGAGTCGTCTTCCTCCTCAGAATATTGATCAGACCCATCAGAGAGAGGATTAAGAACTTCAAGTCCATCTTGCTGATCCATCCACATCATTGCTAAGTTTCCGGAGCTGTGGTGCACCCTTTTCAACCCACGACTCTCCTCAGACATTTCATTCATCCTTCCGGAGCTGCTCAAAACTCTTCGCAACTTCAATCTAGAAGAAAGAACTTGAGGTGTAGCATCCAGTGAACGTTCAGGCCAGTCCAATCTATTGTTGCTGTCCATTCCAAATATTCGCTGCAATTGAATGTCCTTCGCCACAGTCATCTCAGTTTCACATATCCCATTGGTACCAATAGACTGCATGCTGATAGTGTCTAGGATAGGAGTTTCTGCAACTTCAGCAAGCATGTCAGCAGCAGCAGAAGTCCTTAATACTGGGGATGGAGGAGCACTGTAGCTTTTCTGTATAGATTCACGCTCTGGTGACTTGTTCAAGGTCCTTCGTATTATAGCCTCCCATTTTGGAATTGGCCTTCTATTTTCTGCTCCGAATACGTTTCCAGCGTTCAAAGGAACCACCTCCTGGAAACTGTGAGCAAGCATAAACACCTCGGAATTCAAATCCGGATAAATCCTCACAGCAAGTAAAGACTAGTTTGGGATGAAGCAGAGTGGTTTAGACATGTTCAGAGAAGAACAATAGATGCTCCAGTTGGCAGGATGCACAGAATGCATATTTCAGTCTAGACATAGAAATTGGAAACGACTAGTGAAGCACAATTGAGGAAGGGATTTCTGGGAAGTTCAACCAGTTCTAGAAGAGAATAAAGCTTTTATCAAGTTGAATATACTTCTCAAAGTTATCCAATGAGGGAATTCTAGATTGAATATTATCTGTAGGAGCTTCAGAATCAAGTGATTGTTTATAGGCATTTCATTCTTTCAAAATTCGATAACCTAAATCATGTGTGTTGCAGGTGGTCTTGGCATGTTACAAACTCACTGTAAAAGATGAGGTTCTTAGACTACTTTTTCCTTGAGCAAGCAGCTCTTAGACCTGGAAACGACCTTATCAATATCAAGTACTTACCCAAGAATATACATATCTGCAGGTTCTTGGGTAGACAGCCACTCATCAATCTCAAGATCCTCATTTGGTAGCCTTCCAGCAACATTCCAAGTACCTATTGTCACTCTGCAGAGGAAACAAGAACTCCCAATGAATTTGTCACCTGATAAAGATTTCAGCACTGACAATTCGTTTATAAGAGAACATATCCAAAATCATGGTTTTGGAGCCAAACCTCACATCTCTTCTGCTTATATACTGAACTCTAAGAGTTTCTGATTTTCCTCTCCTGTGTCTCGGCGAGTATTCCTTTGAATAATTCCCTGAAACCATTGTCAAGTGTAAATGCAATGCCGTCTTCTCCAACAGCATGACAAACCAATCTAAGGTTGAAATGTTCTCAAGACAAGACATCGGGTAAAAAGATAAATTTTCATTCAAGCTGGCTACAATAATTGAACCACAGCCAAGAAAAATATATGTTACTATATTCCTGAAGAAAGTGATTACAGTTGAGTTCGCAAGAAAAGTGCAGGAGTGGGGCAAATTAATAACTGAATGAACGAATACCATTTAAGAAAGGAAGCATTAACCAATCAATTTGCACTTGCACTGGACTGCTAGTTGCCAAGCTGTGGAGTTTGAAATGATCATAAAAGTGAAAAAAACTAGAGAAAACCTATTTACCTCAATATACAGGCATGCTCTTTGTAGGTACGAAAGAAAGCTAGTTTTCAATTTTATAGAAAGATTTCACAGAACCAAAATTTGTAAATTACCTGAATCTTCATTCTGGCATACAGATTGGCTCCCCTGGATCCTACGGGCATGATCCTGATCGATTCTTTCATCTTTAAGGGAGTCAACTGAAAAGAAAGTGCAACAGAAGAACCATTTCAAGGCAAGCAAAGGATAATCAATCTAAGTCGAATATAACGAAACACTATAATTAATAAAGATAGCAGCGAATTGTATAAAACAATTAAGCAGGGAGAGAAAAACCAAGAAACGAGTTGAAATGGATGAATTGTGCTGAACATGCATACCGTCATCTTCACTCTCAGTTTCAGTGTCAACTTCATCCTCACTAAAGTCATGGGCCTTAGGCTTAATGTTCAGCCATTTTTTCATTACAATGGAGGGCCAAAATGGCTGCTACCAAATGTAATTCTCAATCAGCATAATCATTAGAATCAAATCATTATCAAGAACTCAAGATTCTAGGAGAACTACTGAAAAACATGTGGCCGGAAAGAAAAAAAGAAAAAAGAAAAAAGAATACCGGAGAACGCTTTGCTCTTCGAGTTTTCATGTTTCAAGACAAGAAAACCAAAAAGGTGGACCTGAAACTCAAGAATACTACTTGCAAATGCCGATACACTGCTGTTCTCAACTGCGCATGAAATGCCATAGATTTTATACTTGTTGGAGTTAAATACATTTTAAGTGTTTTGTAAGGCTAAATAAAAACAGGGTTGTCTATTATTAGACTCCCTGATACCAAACTACAAAGAAGATTCGTCAGCAGTACAAATAGCATTGGCCACAAAAAAAGTAATGGCTTCAGGAACATTCACTGCCCAACTTGCCTAAAAAAAAAATGTACCCTGATGGTCCTCTCATGTTGTCCTTTTCGCGTTGATAATCAAAAGCATGCTATCATAAGAAATTTCAATCAAAAACCAACCCAATAAGTTGTATAAAATAAGAATGTCAATTTAAGACTTTATAAACCTAACAAATCTGTCCTACTTCATTCAACTGGTACAGTATCAAAATCCCACAAAAGGGCTACTGTGCACACATCAGCCACTGATACAAATGGTTGAAAAAAAAAACCCAAGTAGTAAAGTACAAAGACAGCACTTAATTCAGCCTGCATGTTGGATGATATGAAGTAATGGCCAAAAAGCATGCATTAGCCATGACCTAATAGACAATGATTCATATGGTTGGGGATCATTTAATATGAGGAATTAACATTAAAAAAAATTAAAAACTTGTATAATAGTTGCACACCAAATTAAATTAGAAACTAGTGACCCTTCACTAATATAGGCTATGTCCAAAAAAAAACACACACACATTACTCTAAAAAATGGACTACCAAAGGCATCCCAAAACACAAAAACAACTCAAGAGATGGCATACTAACACCTTAGGTAAAAAAAATATCATTCAACTAAATTTTAGCAACCAAATTATTATGGTAAACCAGCTCCAAACTTCGGTTTTATCTGCATGTTTTCCATGTATTTGTAGACAATAGTGATTCGACTAAATGAAATTCTATTGTTTATCCCAAAAAAAAAAAAAAGTGGTCTCACCTGAGATTAAAATGTTTCAGTCAACCGAATTAACTTGGATTTTCATCGAAAGTAACATGTTGTTCTGGGTTTGTGTGACCATAACATTTTTTTCCATAAAGGTGTTTACTGTTTAGTAAATCATCCAATACTAGATGACAATAAACTGACATATGAGAGCTCAAAAAGGCTGCAGTCAGCAGTTTGGTTAACCAAACTCTGGCGTTTCCACATCACCAGCCGCGGACTTATTCAACTCGACCAGCCACCTATCTGTTGGCCAAGTTGCAAATCCCAGCTCTAATGATGCATGATTTGAATAAACTGGACGCGGGTTAAGCTAGGCACCAGCAAAATCAGGCACCGCCAAATTAGCAAATTTAACACTTGATTTGTCCTCTTGACATCACAGCAAATCATCTATATTGACCCCGCGTTCACAAATCAGCCAGAAACTTGGCCGTCACCTAGATTAACAAAGCCGAAAAGATCAAGATTTACGACCATATTATCATCAGTAGTTCGAGTCAAAACAATGATTATGTCCTGATTAACATTATTATACCCACAATTATTGTTGGGTACCAGGTTGGACGGTACATAAAAAAAAATCAACATGAGTATATACGTGAAATATTTATAGAATTGAGCATATCTGTCCGTGTGACTCTATAGTGTAGCTTTGTGGGCTGTTGGCAAGTGTACACTAGGCGAGGATTTTCCAATTAACTACGTAGTTGCACCAAGTAGTTCGTGGCTGGGATTTTTCCATGGTTTTTGGCTTCCTGTAATGAAGTGAGTAAACTAACTAAGATCAAAACATGACTTAGGAAGCAGGAATCATGAAGGCGTGAATATTAAGAAGATGAAGGCGTGGGCATTAGACTGAGAGGTTGTCAAAAGCGTGACCAACGGATCACGCTTTTCCTGGGTTTCAGTTGCTATAACAGAACACTCAGGAGCAGCAACTTGCAGATGCAACTTGCAGATATAATCCAACACGTGTATTGTTTCTAGTGGCTCAGTTAGTATTCGGTTAGGATTTATTAGCTTTATAAGCAGGCTTCTCTGCTCAAGTAAGGTAGCTTTTTGAATTCATTTTGTCCAGATTCATCTGAATTTGTAAAGAGGAGCAATCCTCATTTTTCCCTCCCAATTTCCTTCGATTCTTTCCCCTACTCAGCTAGAACCATCTTTTCTGTTCTTATATTTGTTCACCAAATTATGTCAATGAAGAATCAGATTCATATGATTACTGTTACATTGATTCATTGATTAATCAGTTCATTACTTGAGCTTGTCCCTTTTCTATTTCCTGCAATAGTTCTGGCTTCTCTGGTTTCTGTACCTTAACAGTGGTATCAGAGCTAGCTACGAGCCATTGGGTATATATACACATACAAAAAATGACTAAAAATCAGGACGAAATAAGGAAGGAGATCACTGAGCTAGGAAGTGTGGTTAGGACTTTTGCTAACAGGAGTGATGGTCTGGAGCAGGCTGTCAGGATCATGGAGCACAGGCAGGAGAGTACTGAAAAAACACTCAAAAACCTGGATCAGAAGTATGAAGGTATGATGAACATGATGGCACAAATGTTAGCAAGGTTAAATGACAAGGGAAAAGAGGTAGAAGGCAACAGCTCAGACTCCAGTTTGATGCAGAAAGAGGACAACAGAAGGAAGGAGGAGCAGAAAGGAGCCAGGGATAGATCTGAATCTCAGGGTCCTAGGTCTTTCACTAGGCTACCTAAGGTGGACCTGCCATCATTCACTGGGGAAAATCCCAGGGAATGGATCAGGAAGGCCAATAAGTACTTCAAAATCAATGGAGTGGAGGAGGAAATGAAGCCTGAAGTTGCAGAACTCTACTTCAGAGATAAGGCAGATATCTGGTTTCATGGTGTATTCGGTGGAAGGGAGGATATTCCTTGGAATGAGCTCTGCAATGCACTATGTGAGAGGTTTGGAGACGGAACCCCTGAGGAAGCTATAGAGGAGTTCAACAAACTAATGCAGACAGGATCAGTAGCTGACTACTTGGAGAAATTTGAAATGCTCAAAGCCCAGGTAATGCCTTCCCTCCCTCATCAGCAGGATTGCTATTATAAAACATGTTTTCTGAGTGGATTAAAAGAAGAAATAGTGACTATGGTAAAACTAGCCAAACCAAAAACACTGGCAGAGGCTGTGGAAGCTGCCAAACTACAGGAGAGGAACCTGAGAGCATTGCAGAGAATTCACAAAACCCCTACCTACAACCCCAGCTACCAGAAACCTCAGCCTAAAGTCCCATACCAGCCAAAATTCCCTGACAAAACCCCAAGCTACCCCAAACTACCTGACAAACAGATTTCCAAAACATACAGTAACCACCCCAATCCCCAGAGCCAATTCAAAAAACTCACCCTAGCAGAACTCAATTACAGGAGGGAAAGGGGGCTTTGCTTCAAATGTTCTGAACCATATACATTGGGGCATGTATGTAAACAGTCTCATTTGAACTTGCTAATATTGGAGGAGGAGGAGACACCAGGAAAGGTTGAAGAGGAAGAAAAGAAGGATGAGACTGATATATTCTGTGACTGTATTGGAGGGGAGTTGGAGAATGAACTCATGGAAGTATCTATCCATGCCCTGGCTGGAGGAGGTAAACATAAGACCATCAGGATCAAAGGGTTAGTTCAGGGGAGGGCCATTACTGCACTAGTTGAAAGTGGCAGTACTCATTGCTTTGTTGATGAACAGTTGGCTAAAAGCTTGAAATTGGCAACACAGGGAGAGACTCTGACAGTTAGAGTGGCAAATGGGGAGAAACTTCAATCCAGAAACATTACCAAGCCTGTAGTATGGAAGATGCAGGGATATGAATTCTCACACCAGTTCAATACTCTAAGGCTGGGAGGGTGTGATATGATACTAGGAGTAGACTGGCTAGCCAGGAACAGCCCTATGGAGTTTGATTTCAGAAAATTAAGCATGAAATTTAGGAAAGGGAAACAACAGGTGGAGCTAAAGGGAGAGGACAGTACCATACAACTAAAACTCATAAGAGGAAGTAGGCTGCACAAGTGGACCAGGAAGCATACATATGGAATTATGGCACAGGTGTGTGCAGTGGAGGACAGGGAATCAGTACAAGGGCCATACCCACCAGTTATGGAGAAGCTACTGCAGGACTTTGCAGATGTTTTCCAGGAACCACAGGGACTTCCCCCTACTAGGGGCCAGGATCACTGCATTACTCTCAAGGAGGGAGCAAAGCCATTCCAGATCAGGCCATACAGGTGTCCCTATATTCAGAAGACAGAAATTGAGACACTGGTGCAGGAGATGCTACACTCTGGAATCATACAACTCAGCAGCAGCCCCTTTGCCTCACCAGTGTTGCTAGTCAAGAAAAAGGATGGATCATGGAGGTTTTGTGTGGATTACAGACAGCTGAATGACCTGACCGTGAAAAACAAGTTCCCCATGCCACTTATTGATGAACTGCTGGATGAGTTGCATGGCTCCAAGTATTTCACCAAAATCGACCTCAGAGCTGGATACTTCCAGATAAGAGTAAGGGAGGAGGACATTCCAAAAACAGCTTTCAGAACACACCAGGGACTGTACGAATTCAAAGTCATGCCATTTGGCCTGACCAATGCACCAGCAACTTTCCAAGGATTGATGAACCAGGTATTCCAGAAACAACTAAGAAAGCATGTATTAGTGTTTTTTGATGACATATTAATCTACAGCCCTACACTAGAGGAACATATCCAGCATGTCACTGAAGTCTTTGAAATTCTAAGGCAACACCAGCTCTATGCTAAGGAGAGCAAGTGCTCCTTTGCTCAAAAGCAGGTAGAATATCTAGGCCATATTATCTCAGCAGATGGAGTAAGAGCTGACCCTAACAAGATTAATAGCATGATGGAATGGCCAAGGCCAGGGAACACCAAGCAACTAAAGGGATTCTTGGGACTGACAGGCTACTACAGGAAATTTGTCAAGGGATATGGTGCTATTGCCAAACCACTGACCACCCTCCTCAAGAAAGATGGCTTCCACTGGGGAGAGGAGGCTGAGGATGCCTTCCAGAAACTCAAGTTAGCTATGTGCAGCACCCCTGTACTAGCTCTCCCTGACTTCACTCAACCCTTTATAGTAGAA